CACATAAGTACTAATACAATAGTAGTGGGGGACCTCAATACCCCACTGTCACATATAGATAGATCAACTAGACAAAAAACAAGCAATGAAATACTAAAGCTCAATCAAACTCTTGAACAAATAAACTTAACAGACATTTACAGAGTGTTTCACCCCACAAAATCAGAATACACATTCTTCTCAGATCCACATGGATCTTTCTCCAAAATAGCCCACATGCTCACTCATAGAACATATTTAGGTAAGTACAAAGGAATTGAAGTTATCCCCTGTATATTATTCAACCATAGTGCAATAAAATTGGAGATCAATACCAAAAGAAACTGCAAAAACTTCATAAACACATGGAAATTGAACACTTCTGAAGAACCAATAGGTCACAGAGGAAATTAATCAGACAGTTCCTTCAGTTAAATGACTATGACAATAAAACATATCAGAATCTATGGGACACAATGAAAGCAGCCTTATTAGAGAAATTCATAGCGGTGAATATTCATATTAGGAAAGCAGAAAGAGCCCAATTAAACAACCTGATGTTGAACCTCAAGTTTCTAGAAAGAGAAGAGCAGGAAAAACCCAAAGTTCATACAAGGGAGGATATGATAAAGATCAGGGCAAAAATTAATGCAATGGACACTAAGAAAACAATATAAAAAAATCAATGAAGTCAAGAGTTGGTTCTTGGAAAGAAAAAACAAAACTGACAAACCCTTAGCCAACCCTATCAGAAAAAAGAAAGAAAAGGTCCAAATCCATGCAATTAGGAGTGAAAAGGGTGAAATTACAACACACCCAGCAGAAATCCAGTGGATGATCAGTACCTACTTCCAGAATCTATACACCAGTAAGATGGAAAACACAGAAGAAATGGACAAATTCCTAGACACGTATGAATTACCAAAGTTGAATGAAGGAGACCTAAAAACTCTAAACAACCCAATATCGATCAATGAAATTGAAAACTTAATTAAAAACTTACCAACTAAGAAAAGCCCGGGTCCTGATGGCTTCACTGCTGAATTCTACAACACATTTAGAGTGGAACTACTGCCACTACTGTTTAAACTCCTCAATGAAATTGAAAGGGAAGCAATACTCCCAAATTCATTCCTGGAAGCATCTTGATCCCCAAAGCAGAGAAAGACCCAACCAAAAAAGAGAACTATAGGCCAATCTCATTAATGAACATAGTTGCAAAACTCCTTACTTAGACCCTGGCAAATAGAATGCAGAAGATCATCAAGAAGATCATACACCTTGACCAAGTGGGATTCATCCCAGGGATTCAAGGATGGTTCAACATATGCAAATCAATCAATGTAATACACTGTATCAATAGAACGAAGAATAAAAACCATATGATCATCTCAATATATGCAGAAAAGGCATTTGACAAAATCCAACACACATTTATGGTTAAAAAAAAAACCCACAAAAAATTGGAAAAGATGGTCTCTATCTCAAGCTGATAAAAGCCATCTATGAAAAACCAACAGCCAATATCATACTAAATGGTCAAAAATCGAATTCCTTCACACTAAAATTAGGAACAAGACAAGGATATCCACTATCACCACTCCTTTTCAATATAGTTTTGGAAATATTAGCCACAGCAATTAGACAAGAGAAAGAAATAAAAGGAATAAAGATAGGAGATGAAGAAGTCAAATTGTCATTATTTGCAGATGATATGATACTCTATATAGAAGACCTCAAGAACTCCACCAAAAGTCTTCTGGGCTTAATAACCAAATTCAGTTCAGAAGCTGGATACAAGGTCAACACACAAAAGTCAATAGCTTTCCTCTACATGAGCAACAGACTCACTGAGAGAGAAATAGCACAATTAATTCCTTTCACAATAGCATCCAAAAAACTGAAATACCTAGGAATCAACCTAACAAAAGAAATCAAAGACCTCTTCTCTGAAAACTATAGCACTTTGAAAAAAGAGATTGAAGGGGATATCAGAAAATGGAAAGTCATCCCTTGCTCCTAGGTAGGAAGGATCAATGTAGTGAAAATGGCCATACTTCCAAAATTGCTATATAGATTCAATGCTATCCCAATTGAAATCCCAGCAGCATACTTCATGGACCTTGAGAAATCAATCCAAAAATTCATTTGGAACAAGAAGAGGCCCAGAATAGCAAAGGGAATTCTAGGTAACAGAGACATGGCAGGGAGTATCACAGTCCCCAACTTGAAACTATACTACAAAGCTACTGTGATAAAATCAGCATGGTACTTGCAAAGAAACAGACCAGAGGACCCGTGGAACAGATTAAAAGATGAAGAAACAACACCAGACACACTCAGCCATCTCATCTTCAATAAAGGAGCCAAACACCCTCACTGGAGGAAAGATAGCCTCTTTAATAAATGGTGCTGGGGAAACTGGATTTCAACTTGCCAAAGACTGAAACTAGACCTATATCTCTCACCATGCAGTAAACTAAAATCAAAATGGATTAAAGATCTAAATATTAAAACAGAAATGCTGAACCGACTGGGACAGAGGTTAGGTAGAACTCTTAAAGACATTGGGGTAGGAAAAGATTTTATGAACCAAACCTCAGTTGCCTGTGAACTCGCACAAACAATCAACAAGTAGGATCTCTTCTTACTAAAAAGCTTCTGCACAGCAAGAGAAACCACCAGCAGTGTGTAGAGAAAACCCACAATGTGGGAAAAATTTTCACCTGCTGTTCCTCAGACAAAGGTCTACTGTCTAGAATGTATAGAGAACTTAAAAAAATCAGACTTCCCAAATTTAAAGACTCAATCCAAAAATGAGCATCTGAAATGAACAGACATTTCTCACACAAAAAAGTAGAAATGGCAAATAAACATATGAAAAAATGTTCACCATCACTAGTCATTCGAGAGATGCAAATGAAAACAATGCTGAGATTCCACCTCACTCCAGAAAGAATGGCTGTTATCATGAAATCAACCAATAACAAATGCTGATGGGGCTGTGGGGAAAAAGGAACCCTATTCCACTGCTGGTGGTAATGTAGACTGGTGCAACCACTATGAAAATCAGCATGGAGATACCTCAAAGAACAAGGAGTGGAATTCCCATTTGACCCAGCTATTCCCCTGCTGGGTGTATTCCCCAAATAATTGAAAGAATCATACCATGGTTCATAGCACCACAATTTGTAATAGCTAAAACTTGGAAATGGCCCAAATGTCCATCAACTGGAGACTGGATCAAGAAAATGTGGTTTTTTTAATAAAATGGAGTAGTGCTCAACCATTAAAAATGAGAAATTAGAGACATTTATTGCTAAATGGATGCTCACTGAGGTGATACTCTTAAGTGAAATAAATATGACACACATGGGTAAATACCGAAGTTTCCCTAGTGTGAGAAACTGAAAGTGTAAATAAGGACAAAAAGGAGTAATAGATAATGTCAAATAGGAAGAAAAGGGCCAAATGAGAAGAGGAAGTGGGAAGGGTAGGAGAAATGAAAGAAGGAAATTGAATTAATATGAGAAAATGAAAAAAAAGTAAATAAAGTCTTCGTAAATAGGAAAGCATGGAGGGGTTGAAGGGAGTGCAGGAGAAGGGGGAATAAATAAGAAAAAAATTTAAGTGTCAAGTATTTTGTCCCAATAATGAGGAAGTGACTAAAATAGAAAATTGGTACTGGAAAAGTTGGGTCATTTCTGTGACTATAACCTGATGATGTGGTTTAGAAGACTTTTGAAGTGGTTTGCAGGTGGAGTTTGGGAAGGTTTGGAAATGTGAGCTAGAGAAGCCCTACAAGGTTTTAAGCAGAGGTTGATGGATGGTTCTGGTAAGAGTTCAGAAGGCCAAAATATTGATAGGAATGCAGACAGTAAAGGCCAGGCTCATGCAGATTCAGTCCTTGGGAAAGAGGACTCTATTGGAAACTGTACTAGAAGTTATGCATGTTGCATTCTAGAAAGGAACTCATCTATATTTTATCCAAGTCCTAACACTTTGTGTTGGGCATGTTAAGCTTAATTTAAAGGTAGTGTACTGATTAATCTGGCAGAGAAAATTTGAAGGCAGCCCAATGGTCTGGCTGTGGCAAGTATACTGCTGGCCTCTTTTAGCAAGAACTCTAATGAGGAGTAAAAAGCAAAACTGAATGATTTGAAAAAATTGTAACTTGGCTAGAAAGGAAGTACCTATAAAGTTGTGCACAAGGGAAATGTAATTGCTGTAAATATCAGAACCATTGGGGAAACAAAGCCATGAGACTTGTTTGGTTTTTGCTTACCAAGGTGTTTTCCACCACCAGATTTTATTAATGCTGTCTTCCTATCTGAGAGAGCAACCTAAGCTCCTGAGAACTCAGAATCATCCAGGGAAGGCTTGCAACTCTCTCACCATAAATCTGACCACACCTCACATCCATACTCTGTTGGTAATTGTTCTGATGCCCCTGAGAGGCTGAATTTGTCTTAATCCAAAGAACACAGTCTCGATGTTTATCCTAAATGATACGAGTGATGCATTTCCTAGGTTTAGATCCCACTAACCTAGTGACCCTCCGTAAACTCTGTAACCCTCGATTTTGCATCCGAATGCAGATAATAACCCTTGCTCCTCAGGATTGTGTGGATCAAGTAGGAAACCAGGGGCCACACTCAGACAGTGTATCACTGAGTATATACACTCCACTCCTGGAGGCCTGAAGCAGAATGAGTGGAAAGGAGGAACCTCTTTATACTGGCTTCTGCCTAAAGCTTAGCCAGCATGCACAAAATAGGATTCGGTTTCAAAAGCTTTTGTGGGCCCAAGTAGCCTCAGATGGGGCAAATAGTCTCCAAGGAATGGAGTCCCAGTTGTTCCCTCTAATGGCTTCTCTTTTCCCTTGATTTCCAGAGCTGAAGCAGTCTCCTACTACTACATTTCTCATACCTCTTATCCTCAGCACAAAGATGCTGCTGCTGATCCTTATATCTGCCATCTACATCTACAAGAAACAGAAGACCTGACTGTAAGTTGATGGGGAGGAAGGGCAGGACACACTGTCACAGATGAGCAGGATCAGCAGGGTCCCAGCTCACTCTTCAAATAGCAGCAGAATCAGTGGAGTTTGGAAGGTGGCACTCTTCCTTCAGCATCTCAGGGATCATAGAGACAGGTCTGAGAGACTCCTAGCTCTAGGAAGTATGCAGGGGGCTGCAGGAAGGGGCCAGGTCAAGGGAGTGTGATTGATGTCCCCAGAGGTCTGCAGGCTCCATGAATGAGGTGGATGAGTGTGTATAATAAGGGCAACAGAGTTGTTGTTTCTGTGGAGACCATCTCTAGAGTAGTTAAACACTAGGGATCCATAGGGCAGGAGAAATCCACAGTTTAGACCAATATTGAGAAACCCCAGATGGGAGGCTCTGAGAACTGTTCCCCATCTGGCCCTCTGTGTGACCAAGCAGAAGGATGAGGAAGAAAGTCAGGACTGAGGTAGGAGGCTGAAATGAGAGTCTTGTCTCAGGAGCTGCCTATCTATTCATAACAGGTGTCCCAAGAGAAGAGTAGCACCAGGGACATAACAGCACTCAGGAGACATTTCTTCAATGATTAGGAGATAATTCAAAGTGGATGTATTTCCCCACAGCTCCTTCCTTCATCCACTCCTGCATGAAACCCTCAATCTCTTTCCCCTCCTTCCTGCTCCAAGGAGCTCAGCCTGAGATAAAGAGATGACAAGAAGCTCACCTAGATTCCACTCCGAATGTCTCCCTATCCCAGACACTGCAAGTCCATAGCATGCTGTTACTCCTCTGCACATGCATTGATCCCACCAGTACTGGTCCCAAGCAGGAGCCATGGGAACTGGCTCTGGGTGCTTACCTGGGACACCTCCCAAAAATGTAAGCAGGAAGTCAGTCTGAACACATCAAGATATCTGTCATCCACTGCCTGTAGATGGCCATGACCATGCATTCTGGTCTATATTCTCAAGGGTTATTCTCTCTTCTTGATTCCTGCACACCCCAACTCTCCAGACTTGTTGAGGTTCTCAAATGATCCCACAACTTTTCTTTTGAAGAAAAAAAAGTCTTCCTCTTTACTAATATGTCCTACTCTTCCAATACCCTCCCTGAATTTCTCTCCCTTGTCTGTGTTAGGAACACTTGCTTTTCTGTCATCCCTTATTCTTCCCAACCCTCTTGTTCATGGTAAAAATGCAGTGGCAGTCAAAAAACCATGGAATTATTCTTTCTCTTTACAATATTTTTGTATGCCCTCATATTCAGTTCTTATCAGTGGTGAGGTGGTAAGTATTCAAAAATTTACTAGAAAAAGAAAAAAATGCTTAGTTGTACTGATTGTCAATTTTCTTCATATAAATACTCCCAGGATGGCCAATTTCAAGCTACTAACTTCTTAACAACTATATTGCAAAGGTCCTAAGTATTTAACAACTGGCCTTCACAAGCCAATCCAGCCTGCTCCAGTAACCACTAAGTTATATTCATAGTCCATGAACTTCTTAACTCCACAATTCCCTGGTCTCAGCCAGCAGCATCTTCTCCTGGACCACTGCTAGCACTTCTAACCAGCTTGCCTGTTTCAGCCAATGGGATTCTTTGGAAATGAGAGTCAAATCAAATCATTCCTTCACTTCTCCCCAACATGTCTGTATACCTCTCTCTTTCCCTTCTTTCTCATCTTTGTTTAATATCACTCTATTAAAGATGCTTTCATTACAGCATGTATATAAAATTTCAATTTCCCCCTTTCTCACCCCGTATTCTAAATCCTCTTAATCTGAGTAGTGTTTTTCCTTAGCACTTATCATTATCTGTTCCACAGGTCCAGGCAGCCCTCACTCTCCATGGCAATCCAGGATTATAAAAATGACTACAAACTGAAATCCTTGGAAACCATCTCTATATTCACTGGGAAAAATAATTATTATCCTATGAGCTTTATGATTTTGTCGAGATTTTAAAAACTATATTTTACAGATATACCAATAAATGAAAGAATAACTATAAAATAAATATTCAGTAAACTGTAATTGTAAATATTAGAAACATTGAGTGTTAAAGTGTTTGTTGATAAAAAACATCAATATATGTTTGAATAATGTTTACCTTCATCTTATATAATTTGAGACATGAATAAGTATATTTTCTACCTTGTGAATTATCATTCTCCATTGTATGCTTGTATTAGCTTTCATCATTTTATCCTTTGCACTTTTAATGCTGTGAAATCTCCACAAAGTAACTTTACTGTGAAGCTTTTTCCTGGTAGTATTTCTTCCAGGACATCATCGTCCTTTGATCACTATCTCTTTCCACAAATATGTCAGTAAGTTCCATTCTAGTGAGTTCCTCTGGCTGCCTGTGTAATGTCTCCAAACAACATCAGTGCTTACACACCCATGGTCAGCTGTTTATACTTCTATATCTTCACCTCCAAATTGAATTTCACTTCCAATAGTATCACTACCCTTTTTGTTTTTGTTTTGTTTTGTTTTGTGCCCTCTCATCTTTGTTGCCGACTGCCTCTTTCAATTATCACTTTCAGTAAAATATCTCATGGGATCATGGCTGGGAGAAAAGAAGGCTATCTGCAGAAACTGAGAAAGAGACACAGGGACCAACTGATCAGCAATGGACTTAGAAATGATTGGCCACTGACTGTGATAAGGATTTGTTATTTACATAATAAGTGGACTAAAGAGTGAGCATGAAATGTTGTGTTTTTTGTAATTACTGTAGAAGTGAAATTGGAGCCACCTAATCAGGGACCGGTATTATTTATACTGTGGTACCTAAAAGTCATGCATATAAGCACCAAATTGAGAACTGCCTGTATTAGTCTTTCTTCCTCAAATTTAATGTCAATTCTATCGGGTCATGAACTATCAATAGCTTCAGTTAGCAGAACAGCTGCAGTACAGTAGATATCAATTTTTGTTAATAAGTTAAGGAAAACATCATTGAGGATAGTGGTTTCTCCTGGATGTTGGATTTCAAAATAAAACTTTTTTTTCACTGAATCACCAACTATTCTATTCTTTAGATCTTTCTTTAAAGACTATTCTTCATTGTATTTAAACATCCCATCAAAACTTTAACATCCTCTAGAAGTAAGTGTTAGACAGCTGTCTGTGTCTAGAACAAAATACCTGAGGAAATCTCTTTACAAGGAGGAAGGTTTAATTTGGCTAATGACCTTGGGTGTTTCATTCAGTGGTTGGTTTGCCCTACTGCTTTTGGGACTTTGCTGAGGCAGCACGTCATGGTGGGAGTGTGTGGGAGTGGAAGATGCTTACCTCATAAGGCTTGGGAGCAAAATGAGAGATTAAGAAACTGCAGTCCCAATACCATTGGTAAATGTGCACAGATTCTGAAAGCAGTGGTGTGGACCAGAGAAGCATGGCTTCAGGTAGGTCCAGCCAGGGACCTGCCCTGACCCTGGCCACTTGGGCACACAGGCCCAAGCCAAAGGCCTGCCCAGAAAAGAGCTGCAGAGGTGCACAAACAACAGCCAGAGGCCAACCCCAGTACCATTGATAAGTGTCCACAAATCCCGAAGCAACAGTGTGGACCAGAACAGTGTGGCTTCAGGCAGGTCTGGCCATGGCTCGCCCCAACCCCCACTGCTTGAGCACACAGGACAAAGCCAAGGGCCCACATGGAAAAGAGCTGCACAGGCGCACAAGCAATAGCCAGAGGCTCACCCTGATACCATCAGTAAGTTCATGGAGAACCTAGCCAGAAATCTGCTCAGACATCAGGGACTGGGGTGCACAGCCCCCAGCCAAAGGCCCTCCCAGACAACAGCTACATAGGGGGGCAGGCCCTAGCCAGAAGCACACCTGGATAACATCCCAAGCCCCAGCCAGAAGCCCGCCCAGACAACAGGTCAGCTCAGGGATCCAGAAGGCAACCATTCTGAACCCAGGAATTGTTGCACTGATGAGCAGAAGAAAAAAGGCCACTTGGTGGTTTGCCGAGAATTAAAGACCACTGGGTGACCCAAAAGTTGCCTCAGAAAAGGTGCAGCAGGCTGAATCTGTTGAAATGAGAAGACACATGAACAAGTTTCAAAACCAGACTTCCAGATCACCTAAGGCAACCTCAAAGGGCAAAAAGATGGAACAATTTCATACTGGTTACCTGGACTCCCTCAACTGGCAACAAAAGAGGATCTGGAAAAAATGAACTTAGACATAATTTCTCAGATAACAGAAGAGATTGTGTCCATAGTGCAATACATGATTAATAAATCTAGAGCAGACATGGATAAAAAAATAGAAGAGCTGAGGAACATGATGGAATCCCAACATAGGAAACAAATGAAATCCATAAAACAGATGCAAACAGATTTCCAGGACATTAAAACTCCATAGAAAGTTTATGCACCAGAATGAGCCAATGTGGGGACAGAATTTCAGATGTGGAAAACAGGATTGCAATTAGTGACCAGGAAAAGAAAAATTTCTTTAAAATAGTAAGGGACCATGAGAAGTCAATCCAGCAGTTTCTATATGATGCAAAGAAGAATAAGATAAGACTGATAGGAGTCAATGAAGAAACAAGAGGTGCCACTGTTCCCAGCGCAGAGGAGGAGGCTTCCGGGTCACCATGCCACTCCTCCCAGCACAGAGGAGACTTCTGGGCCACTGTACCACCACTTCCAGCACAGAGGAGGTGAGCCAAACAGGTGCCAGCAGCACCCCCCCTCCCCACCATCAAAATGAGAAGGCACATAAACAAGCCTCAAAACCAGACTTCCAGGTCACTTCAGAAACCCCAAAGGGAAATGAGATTGAACACTCTGATACTCAACCACCTGGACTCCCTGAACTGGCAACAAAAGAGGATCTGGAAAAAATGATATCCAACAGAAGAACAAAATTCTACAAGCAGCTAGAGAAAAGAAACAAATCACATACAAAGGATAGCCCATTAGAATCACAGCAGACTTCTCAATGCTGGGAGTTGAAGCTAGCAAAGTATTGGGGGCCAGATCAATTGGACACAAGAGTCTTTTATTTCACCCTTACAGCAGTGGGAAAACTGCTAAAAGAGAGTGACATGACCAGATTTCTCTTTTAAAAGTACCTCTGTAACTACAGTATGAGGAAATGAGGGAACAAGGAAACTAAGAGGCTGTCCGAGGCAGAGATGAACATAGAGAGAAAAAGGCAGGAGGGTTGAGATTGCTAAGGACTGAATATTTGTGACCCTAATATTTGTATGTTAAATCTTAACCTTCACGGTAATGTTAGTAGGACACGGTGGCTTTAGAAGGTCATGAGGGCAGATGAGTGGGATGAGTGCCCTTATTAAAGCCCCAGAGAGCTGTCTGGCCTTCCTGCCAAATAAGGGCACATAACAAGACACTATCTATGACCACAAGCCAGCCCTAACCAGAAACTAAATATGTTGGTGCCTTGATCTTGGACTTTTCAGCATCCAGAATTGTGAGAAATACATTTTCCTTATTTATGAGCCACCCAGTCTATCATATTTTATCACAGCACCCAAACAGATTAATTCAAACATGAATTTAGATGAGGGGAATGAGAAGAGTTGTCAAAAATGACATCAAGATGTCTCTAGTTTCTCATTCTTTATGGC